CCCTCTCTCTCTCTCTCTCTCTCTCTCTCTCTCTCTCTCTCTCTCTCTCTCTTTCTCTTTCTCTTTCTCTTTCTCCTATAAGTAGTCATTTCTTGAGTCTGCTTCTATTGTCTATTATAGATTCCAGCCAGGAATACACAGACTCCACTGGAATAGATTTGCATGAATTTTTAGTAAATACACTGAAGAAAAACCCAAGGTAGGTTCCAGAATGGTCATGTTATGGATCCTGCAACTGCATGCAGAATTAAAAAGGAGAGGTACATATATAACCAAGGGTAGTGTTAGCTGCCAAAAATCTAACATGTTTATGTTGGTATGTGTCTCCTGAGGGTATGATGGAGCCGCTAAGCAGCCTTCCACGCCCTCCTTAAATCTTGGAGATGATGTAAGTATCATGAGCATGAATTACATAAAGTTTAGAGTGTGCTCTCAGTTTATCTAGTCTTGCTACTCCCAAGGATTCATACGCTTATCCTGCCCTGAACAGTCTTGGACTTGACATGGCAACAGTGAGATCTGGAGTTGGTAGGGATTGGGCTTTGACTAATGCCTAGGCCCTTGGCAACAGTGCTACGAGGAATCATGAGGATAGTTCTTAGACTAGTGCTGATTGGTCTGTAACTTCTAAGTTGTGATCCTTTCCTGATCTGCAGTATTTACCATTAATGGAGATTAGTGTATTTGTGAGAAATTTCCCCATGATCTGCCTAGTCATGTAGCCCAATATATCAGGAAAACACTTGGCTGGGGAAAATTGATCCAGCCTGTAGATTATCTACTACAGTATCTGAAATACATTATAATGAGTAAAATTTCATCACATTTTTCTTAGTGTAAGATGATGTTGACAGGTTTCCTACTCAAATTGTTACTGGTCTGTAAACTTAGCTTTGCTGTGTCATTCCTCTGCCCTCTTAGAAAATCCTGGAAAGCTGAATCAGTAATGATACAAGCTTTTTGCTACTTATTTGCTTGTTCATTTACATTTTGCTGTTCCTCCAGAGATGCAAGAGGGATGTACATAACCCTGCAGCATAGGTTGGATTGAGAAAATGTGGCTGGCCTAGAGTTACTAAGTAAGCTTCATGATTCCATGGGTATTTGAGCTTGGTCTCCTTAGTCTTTCAACAAAGCTCGAACCACTATGTTGGCTATCTAGCAGTTCAGACTAACAAAATAGATGCATTTATATACTACATGCAAGGACAGAAAGTAGGAAAAATGGATATGAGGTACACAGTTACAAAGAATTGTGATTTAAAAGCCCTGCCTTTAAATAGCTTCTCTATTGTGCTTCCGCTGTTTCATTAATAAATGGTATCAAAACTGAATGTCTCACATTAGCTGTGTTTTGATACATTTTTCTCTTCAATAATAAAAATTGTATGAGAGCCCATGGGTTGTAATGCTTCTAGTCTGTATGCAGAAAATAATCTGCCTGAACAGAAAAGTACTACTTCTAACTTGCTACATCTATTTTGCGTCTGTCAGCGCGGAACAGGTAACAGGGCCTTGGTTGTTGAATTACCTTGAGCTTTTAGTTTAATGTTAGAAAAGAGGGGGACGTAAGTCTACAGATTTTTCAAAGAGATGTATAGTCTTTTCTGCTCTGAATGTTTTATTGATTTTCTTTAACAGGGATAGGATGATGCTGCTAAAATTAGAACAGGAGATCCTGGAATTTATTAATGATAACAAGTAAGTAATGTGTGTTGATTTATGAGTAAGGATAACTTAAGGGACTACATGTTTTCTATGTCTTGAGATGGAAATCTTCCATTTGATGAAAGTGCAGGTACTCTTTCCTTCTCCTCTGCTCTTCCTCAATAGGTTAAGAATTTGTACATTTGCATATACAACCCAGTCAGGTTCTTTGTTCAGGACTAGTATAGAGCAATTATGGAGTTTCCATTTCCTCCTCTTCCTCCTTTTAGCTCTGCATCTGGATTCAGAATAATGTCTCTGAATTTAGTAGGCATTATTCCCAGTTATACAATTCTCTGGATCCTAACTGAACCAGCAGCATAAAAATACAAAGCCGTTTTGGTACGTTTTATTTCATCTTCTCTTTCTCCAAGCAGCTTAGGATAGCTTTCAAGATTTCTCTCCCTCAGCCCACTTTTATCTTCAGGACCGTTCTCGATGGTCCAAGATCCTTCAGAAGGTGTTATGGTTAAACGGGGATTTCAACCTGGGCCTTCCAGTCATTATCCAACACAGCAGATGCTACACGAAAATTCAGGGTATCCCTGGGGGTAGGGGTGTCAACCAAGTCAAGATGGCAGTGCAACTGTGCAGTCAAAAGCCACCCTTTTTTTATGGGCACCATCTTACCTTTCTTACACACCCACACTCACTACCACACTTGTGAACATCTCTGCATAAACTGCAGCTTATACAGACTTCTCCGAACTCAACATAATAAAAAGTTGATATAACACAAAGTTATAGTAGACATTAGAAGAGCAGAAGGAAATCCCACACTGCAGCTTCGTTGACAACCTAATGTGCTATGTATCATATATTTCGGCTATCCTTTGGAAGGTTACTCTTCCCTAACATTCTTTAAAGAGTGATTCTTAAGATTAAAAATTGGCCTCTATGCTACTAAAACTAAATGTATTGCTAATGAGCCATGGTTCTTTCTGGATAGACACATGCATCTGTTACAAACTGTTAAGACTTTTTGTCATGCCTTCTTTACCCATAACAAGCGTGTTCATGGCTTATTAAAGGGGAAGGGGATGTAAGTGTACTGGTAGGAGATTGCACACCTTTCTTCTTTCCAAGCTTGCTTGTATAGCTCTTTATTTTAGTTCTCTGCAGATATTTAAAGCAAACAGTGTTAAGCCTTTCAGTATCCCATTCAGATCTGAATCTAGGCATGTATGGTTTAAGCCAACCATGCAGTATGAGTGAAGTCCATTCTTTTTAATTTTTCAGCGGCCAATACAGAAATAGCGGGGAAGAAATGGAGACCTGTAGCTGTCTAACAAAGCATTTGCCCAGTTTAGTTGCTGACATCCTTGTTCAAAAGAATTTTAGGGAAATTCTTTAGAAATTCTCTTAGTCCATTTATCTATGTAGACATATACTGGGAGAGATACATTAATGGTCTGATCCAGGATCAGATAGCTTAATAGTGCTAAGCTATGGTTATTTGTGGTTTATTGAATAAATAGCTGGGTTTGTACAACACAGATAACTGGGTTCACATAATATGCTAAATCTTAAATGTCCAATATGTAATTACTAGGAATGCCGGAAGAATGCCTGCTGGAAGGCTTTTTTCATTAGTTCACACTATTAATCAAATACTTGGACCCTGTTGTTTAGGGCAGAATATACCAAGATTCAGCTAAAAGCTAAGATATGGTTTGTGTTTTGGAAGGTTTTTTCCCCTTAGTATTTATATGTCAGCTTATTCCAAATGACAGTGGGCAGCTTACTACATAGGTACATGTGCATATAAGATTAGCATTCTAATATATCGATATTTAAGTCATTATTCCTAGAGCTAGTATACATGACTTGAAATGGATGCAAGCCATTCATTGCATAAAACTGTAGGAAGAGTTGCTTCAGTGCCCGTCCTAAAAAAGTCCACATTACTCCCAGGTGTAACTGAATGAACCACTAGTAGAGATGAAATGATTTTTTTGGATTATTTAAATGTCAATGATTTTTTAACAGTGTAAAATTATATCAAATTGCAATTTGCACTATCTGTAAAGCAGTATTACTGAGTTGCTAGTGATGGTTTAGTTACCAGTGAATGGATTCTTGCTGCAGCAGTTTAGCTTGATCTTTTTACCTGCTAAATTTGCTGAATGAGAGTGTCTCTGCTAAACGTATCCCACCATCTGCCATGGAGCTGATGACCAAGGTTGCCCACATTTTCAGTTTTCAGGAAGTTCTAGTTGAGCATTACTCACATGGAAACAAGTGTTTATTTGTTGTGCCCCCATCTGGCACCCTACAGATGTGTTGGAACTGCAACTTCAAGAATTCCCAGCCAGCATGACCAAAAGGAGAAAACACTGGGATTTGCAGTCCCATCTGGAGAGGTCCAGACTATGGAAGGTTGTAAATTTAGGAGGGTAGGCATCAACTGATGGGATACTAATTGATTCTAATATATGTGAGTTTACTTTTTTTTTTAATGTAAAAAAATGGAAACAATTAAGGCTACCTCCCCAGTCTAAGTAAGTCAAGAAAATATAAAAGGTTAATTACTGATTCGTGTTCTGGTCACAGTGAACTTGCACAGTTCTAGGTTTTCTGGTTGCTGGGTTTTCAGCTGCAATAGGAAATGAGACCATGTTGACAAATGTTTAGGTTTGGTTGAGACTTTTCAAAAGATGCTGAAGATGTCAAAAAAGAATATCCATGGGTTGTTCTTTTTCCTGGATGCCCCTTTCCCTTATACTGTATCAGAATGCTACCTTTCTAAAGTATAGCCATCTGAAGGTGAACACTTTCTAAAGTGTTTATGTCCATTGTAGACATCCTGTAGAACCTGTTATAGCTCAGTGTCAGACTCTCTCTTTTCCAGGCAACATTTTGTTTCATTTTAGTAGGCCTGGGGCATTTTAAGCAATGGCAGGGCAATCTAGAGTTTGCATTCTTCATTCCTGTTCATGGTCTGCCAGAAAGCAGCTTATTTAAGTCCAGGGTTGTTTCACTGCACTCTTGCTTTAGTAAAGAACTTCAGTATAAGTTATTCTGAGGATGACATTTTTAGTTGAAGCAATGTAGTGTATCATGGCTTTCATTTTTTATTGTCTTGTTCTTTCCTCTCCTTCCCCTTTGCCCTTGCTGCGGTCAGCAATCAGTTCAAGAAGTTTCCTCAAATGACCTCATACCACAGAATGCTTTTACACCGGGTGGCTGCCTATTTTGGCATGGACCACAACGTAGACCAAACGGGGAAAGCTGTCATTATCAACAAGACCGGTAACACAAGAATGTAAGGCAAGAATGCTTTTCAACTAGGAAGGGGGTACTGGGAAATTAATTACATTCTTAATGCTTTAACATTTCTATAGCTCTTCGGAATATTCAGAGCTCTTTCTAACTTGCTATTCCTACAATCATAGAGTTAGAAAGTACCATTAAGGCCATTGGATTTCACCCCTTCTTGTGCAGGCTCCATAGAGCAACATTGAGATTATCCTTGTCTTTCTTTCCCTTGCCTTGCCTAATCAATTCATGACAGAAATGGAATATAAGTCAAAGCTCCTTGTAACAGCCTCTTAATGGTTATCCTTATCCTAAAACTGTGACAGGTAGCATGGTGTCATCCAGTTGTTTCATTTGGAAACCTATATCAGCCACAGTCCACATGTCCAAAAGCAACCAACTGTGGGACTTGTACTGCTGAATGTCTAGAGGACACTGGGCTTCCTGGCTTTTATCCAAAAACATTTTGGGCCCTCTGAAATGGATTTTTACCTCCATGACCTGATCCTTTTTTTTCCCTCTGCTTGGCAGGGCTATGGAGAAGTTCTATGCTCCATGAAGGCAGGGTTCACAGACCATTTCTTTCCTCATCACAAACCTTTTCCCCATTCTTCCAGCTTTTCCCGTTGAAAGAAGAAAGACACCTAAAATGTGATGGCTTTCTCCCCAGTTTTCTTCCTTCCTTGAGCAGGAAACAGATGGTTTTTCCTCCCTGTTTTCTACAGGGTGTGCTGGAGTTTCCTAGACCACTCCTGGATTATGTTGGCATTAATGTTAGATAACATTTTAAAACTGCCATGTGAAGGGCCTGCCACCATGATTTTTTTTTTTTAAATACAGTACTGTGCAAAAGTTTTAGGCAGGTGTGAAAAAATGATGTAAAGTAAGAATGCTTT